TTTTTTTTTTACATATACCATGTTTGTTGGACATTTACTCTGGTAATGCCATATTTTTTTTTGTACATGTACCATGGTATTACCATGCTTTTGTACATGTACCATGAAAATACCTTGTTTTTTTTAGACATGTACCATGAAAATACCTTGTTTTTTTTAGACATGTACCATGAAAATACCTTGTTTTTTTTAGACATGTACCATGAAAATACCTTGTTTTATAGACATGTACCATGGTAATATTATATTTTTTGGACATGTATCATGATACTTTTTTTTTGTACCATGGTAATACCCTATTTTTTTGGACATGTACCATAATAAAACCTTGTTTTTTTTAGACATGTACCATGGTAAAATGATATTTTGCACATGTACCATGGTAATCCCATGCATTTGGACATGTATCATAATAATACTTCATTTTTTGTACATGTACCCTGGTAAAACATGTTTAAAAAAAACATGTACTATGCAAATAACATGTTTTTGGACATGTACCATGATGATACTTAGATTTCTGTACATGTACCCTGATAAAACATGTTTTTTTTTATAATCGTGTGCTATGTAAATACTATGTTTCTGGACATGTACCATGATTTTTAGAACATGTACTATTTTAACGCCATGTTTTTCTGGGGGATATGTGCTTTTTAGACATGTATCAGGTTTTTTATGGACAAGTACCATGGTAAAAAATTTCATGTTTTTGGACATGTTCGCCACGGTAATATTGTGTTAAACTGAGACTTACCAGGGTAATACCATGTTTTTGAAGATGTACCATGGTATAACATGGCTTTTTGCACATGGTATCAGAGTAATAGCATGTTTTGGCAATTTTTTAATGTACAAAGAATATGATAATCATTATCGTGGTACTGTCACAGTAACCGCTCCGTCTCCTCACCGCCACCGTTCTTGTAGCAGAGATACGGGAAGCGCCACACGTTTCCCAGTCCGATGATCTCTCCAGCCACCGACAGGACAAACTCCAGCTTGTTGCTCCACTGTCCCCTGTCCTTCATCTTCACCTCCGTGTGCGGGACGATGTCCAGCGGCCGGTTCAGCCCGTTAGACGGGTCCATCTTAGTCGTGATCTCTTTCTCTCCTGTTTGAAAACAAAAGCATGTTTAGAAGAATCTAATGACTGCTATGATGTGTTCGGTCAAGAGGAGCACTGTTAATTACAAAATTGAATGCAATGAATCATATGTGGTTATTTTGATTAATTAATCAGTGTATGGTGTAATTAACTTAATTAAAAATTTTAAATGAAGGTCTCCCAATCAAAAGACAAATAGTGTTTTCATTCACGGTGACACAAAGTTTTTATCTCGTAAAACATGAAGATATGAAACCTGAACACACCCATTCAGACCAGAACCTTTCATAAATGCGGCTCGTAAACCAGTCTGAGCACAAAAGCCATCAGATGACTGTGTTTGTGTGAATGTGGTGGACCCACTCAATTCCAGGCATTTTATTGCATGTTTTGTAATGACGTTTGTGACCGTTGCAACACATCACAAAACAACTGATCTGTTATGATTTATTGCAACACAGACTGCAAAAACAGCATGTGAAAAACTCACAAGGATATAAATGCCTGCACTTCACTAAACTTAAAATAAAAGTTTGGCTAAAAATACTCAGGACATCTTAGTTACACCATGGCAACATACAAAAAAAATTATTAATACGCAAGAAACAACCAGAACATGATAGCAAGCACATAGCAACATTCAAAAAACAAACTGAACGCCTTAACAACCACTGGTCAGTACATAAAATAGCCTAACAACCACGCAGAAACATGCAAAAGAACCTTCCAAAACACCTTAGCAACTGCGTAGCAGCAACACACAAAAAGCACTTACTGTAGAATGCTTTGCAACTGCATATCAATGTGTTAAATATCATTCAGGTCTCGTTAGCAACCACACAGCAACAACCTAGCAACTGCATGGCAACACACAAAAAGCACTTACTGTAGAATGCATTGCATCTGCATATCAACATGTTAAATAACATTCAGGTCTCGTTAGCAACCATACAGCAACACCCTAGCAACTGCATGGCAACACACAAAAAGCACTTACTGTAGAATGCTTTGCAACTGCATATCAACATGTTAAATAACATTCAGGTCTCGTTAGCAACCATACAGCAACACCCTAGCAACTGCATAGCAACACACAAAGCACTTACTGTAGAACGCTTTGCAACTGCATAGCAACATGTTAAATAACATTCAGGTCTCCTTAGCAACCATACAGCAACACCCTAGCAACTGCATAGCAACACACAAAAAGCACTTACTGTAGAATGCTTTGCAACTGCATATCAATGTGTTAAATAACATTCAGGTCTCCTTAGCAACCACACAGCAACACCCTAGCAACTGCATAGCAACACACAAAAAGCACTTACTGTAGAATGTTTTGCAACTGCATGGCCACATGTTAAATAACATTCAGGTCTCCTTAGCAACCACACAGTAACATCCGAGCAACTGCAAAGCAATATGCTAAAAACACTCAGAACACCTTAGCAGAAACACAGCAACACCCTAGCAACTGCATAGCAACACACAAAAAGCATTTACTGTAGAATACTTTGCAACTGCATAGCAACATGTTAAATAACATTCAGGTCTCCTTAGCAACCATACAGCAACATCTGAGCAACTGCATAGCAACACACAAAAAGCACTTACTGTAGAATGTTTTGCAACTGCATAGCAACATGTTAAATAACATTCAGGTCTCCTTAGCAACCATACAGCAACATCCGAGCAACTGCAAAGCAATATGCTAAAAACACTCAGAACACCTTAGCAACCACACAGCAACAGCCTAGAAACTGCATAGCAATGTGTAAAAAAACACTCAGAACACTTTAAAACCATATAACAATGCCCTAGCAACTGCATAGCAACAGGCACTCAGTACTGCAGATATCTGAAAATCACTATGCGCTGGAAATGTAACTGAAATCTTGACCTTTTTGTCATACAGGTTTGGAATTGGGTGGGTTAGTAAATGATGACAGAACTCACTTTTGGGTGAACTGTCCCTGTTCTGGTGCATTACTGGTGACTGCATCACGTCTGCTGTGTGCCATGATACTAGCAGATCACACGAGCATTGTGGGATACGGCACTGCTGAAAAGACTCTCTCTGTGTGAGGAACAGAAGACTCACTCACTGTGTTCATATCTGTCAGCTTGAATTAACGGGTCTGATGCATCTGTGCGTTCAGTTCAGCCCTGTCACAATCAAGACCAAATCAAAGACATTAAAGGGATAGTTCACCCAAAAATGAAAAGTTGCTGTTAATCCTCACTCTCCGTTGTAAACAAACAGCGTCATCGGCTTACATGTGAGTTTGTGCCCACACATACATCATTATGCGAGGAAGTTCGCGCTCCGGACAGTCGTGAACGCACTGAGAACCATTTGCCCAGGCTGTGGATTAAAGGTAATAATGTTATAAATAATGTTCATTTTCTTGCACAGACTGATTGTTTCGCTTCATAAGACCTCAGTGTCTCGTCAGGAGCCACGGGTATTGATTTGGTCTTCCCTGTATATGTTTTTTGACTCTCAAAAGCCGGCAGCCACAGACGTGCAGTGTATGAATAGCCAAGCACCACAGTTTCACCTAAAAAAAATCTTCTTTACTGTTCTTGGATCTTGGATGGCCTGAGGGTGAGTAAATTAACAGCACATTTTCATTTTTGGGTGAACTGTCCCTTTTAATTGACTTTCAATAACCTCCATTTGTGCATTTTACAAGGGACTTATTATTTTTGTTGTTGTTGTAAATAAACTTCATTGTTTGATTTTAAGCAAATTTTCACAGAATTTTGTACCCTAAACAACTCTGGTGCTGTGTTGGGTTACTGTCCTGAGTCCTGATGCAAAACCTGCTTCAAGGCACCAGGGGTCCAGGGTTCAGAGGTCTCTCTGTCTCCGTCCCTCGAGGAACAGACGTCTGTTCCACATACTTGAAGACGTTTCAAACAACAAGCATGGTGGACATCCCGCAGAGCCGGAGGCCTTGAGAATGTGCTCTTTCTTTCTCGTGTGCAGAAACAGCGCCAGCGCCTCTATACTGTCACAGCTGTCAGTGAAAAGCATCACCAGGCTGGTCAAAATAGACTTGCTCTTGCATTAACAAGACACTTGAAGGAATGAAGGGCTGGCAGCGTGAGGTAGAACAGGCTTCTGGTTTGCAAAGCTGTTTGTTTGGAAGATGACCTCAGAGCAAGGTGGTTTGATCACAGTTTACTGCAGTTTTCACAAGGCCAGAGACGAGATCACACGTTAGTCCTGTAGAGCTGAGCTTTTCTGTGCTACTTGCCATAGGAAAGAAAAATGACAGATGTGATCTCAATCGTTTATCCTAGACACCAACAATATTAGACGGAGAGCAAATGGAGCTTCTGCTTAAGTCTCATGCTTCTCAAAAAAAACAAAACATATATCCTCCTATATCTCAAAAATCAGATTTCCCAAAGTAGAGAAGAACGGCACATTTAATATCTCCGAAAAAAAGGTACCTTTTCAAAAGGTACAGTTTTGCACCTTTTATGTACGAATATACACGCTTTATGTACAAAGGTGTACCTTTTGAACAGGTACCGTCCCAGTGACAGCTTTTGTACCTTTTTTTTCACAGACGAGTTTAAATAGAGAGCAAATGGACTAGCTAAAGTCCCCTGCTTCTCAGATGTTTCTCCTGAGAAAAAGACTGTGTTAATCTCACATATCATGTCTAGAGTTTCAAAGGAGATCTCAGAACGTCTCAAACTGTTCAAAAGGGATATCCAAATATCTTAAACTGTGCTCAGATTTCTTAAAGATACCAAAAGCGTCTCAAACATGCCATAGAAAATCCACAAAGATCTCTTTACAAGCTCAACTGTTTTTTTCCCCTAGACACCCAAGAGATGCAAACTGACCAGCTGAAGTCTCCTGCATCTCAGACGTTTCTCCTAAGAAAAAGACTCTGCTAATCTCACATATCTCATCTCTAGAGTTTCAGAAATGTCTCAAAATCCTCAGATTTCTCAAAGACACCAAAAGAAAAGAGGAGCTGCACATAGATCTCTTTAGTATCTCAGTTATTTCTCCTAGAATGCAGACGGACCTGTTGAATTCTGCTTTTCAGATGTTTCTCCTGCTTCTCAAAACCCTGCTAATCTCACATATGTCATCTCTAGAGTTTCAAAAAGATCTAAAAATATCTCAAACTGTGCTCAGATTTCTCAGAGATACCAAAGGAAAGAAGAATTCCACAAATATCCCTTTAGTATCTCAGCTGTTTCTCCTAGACACCAGTGAGATGCAAACTGACCTCCTGTGATCTCAGATGTTTCTCACGAGAAAAGAAACCCTGTTTATCTCACATGTAATTTCTCAGGTTTCAAAAGAGATCTCAAAAATGTCTCAAACTGTCCTCAGATTTCTCAAAAATACCAAAAGACAAGAGGAATCGCACATAGATCTCATTATCTCAATAGTTTCTCCACCAATGGAATGCTTAATTCTCCTGCTTCTCAAAACCCTGCTAATCTCACATATATCATCTCAAGAGTTTCAAAAACATCTAAAAATATCTCAAACTGTGCTCAGATTTCTCAGAGATACCAAAAGATTGTCTCAAAAACATCTCAAACAAATATACCATGAGAAAATAGTAACGCCAAGTAGATGCAAACTGAGCAGCGGAAGTCTCCTGCATCTCAGATGTTCCTCCTAAAAACACCCTGCTAATCTCACACATCTCATCTCTAGAGTTCAAAAATGTCTCGAACTGTGCTCAAAGGCAAAAGTGTCTCAATACAAACTCAAGATTGCAGAGAGCAATGAAAGAGCAAACTCTGAGCACCGACATGTCTTCTGTGACATCAACTTATGATTTGGAGGATGAGAAATGACAGAGAAATGAAAGCTCTCGATGCAGGTAGATACTTGCAGGACAAATGAAAAATGGCATCTTGCCAAAAATTGCTGTTTGCCAGAATGTCTGCCTGCTCAGTAAATCTCTCAACTTGCTGACATAAAGCTGGAGCATACAGGCAGAAAGATCATCAAATAATCCAACACCACACATTACGGCACAGTTAATGTGGGGCCAAACTCCACAGGAGTGTCCATAAGTCACATTTAGGGCCTTCAGCTTGGCAGCTCATTATTCGGATTCATAGCTATTGAACTGATTCGCAAACATTTATTGCATGGGTGTAGCTGTCAGGATTTTGATTAATTATCGACAAATTGACCTTAATGACTTTATGTTGTGACTTTGCGGCTTATTGCTCAATCATACAAGCAGAATAACACATGCTGCGATGGGGTATGAATCTGAACATGCTAGTGGAAAAATCCCAGAGGAACGACTGCATAGCTGAAAACATCTACACACTGTATATCACACATGTGACAGATTAGTGTAGATGCACCATGCATGGAGCTTGCATTCATTCTGACCACCTTTTTTATATAAAGCACAAAGAATTAATTGCACATTTAGAACTAATGAAGTTGCTTTGCAGGCAGTTGGTTCTTCTTCAAAAGTTGTTTCTCATGATCGTAAAACATTATGATCTAACGGTTTTAATCACAATTGTAGACAAATATAATTAGTACTCAAAAGTTTGGAATTGGTAAGATTTTGTAAAAGTCTCTTCTGCTCACCAAAGCTGCATTTATTTGATAAAAAAAACAAAAAAAACAGTAAAATTGTGAAATATTATTGCAATTTAAACTGACTGTTTTCTATGTGAATATATATTAAACTCTAATTTATTTCTGTGATCAGAGCTGAATTTTCAGCATCATTCCTCCAGTCTTCAGTGTCACATGATCTTCAGAAATCATTCTAATATGCTGCTCAAGAAACATTTCTGATTATTATCAATGTTGAAAACATATTCTTTGATGAATAGAAGATTTAAAATAACCACATTTATTTGTAATAATATTATAAATATCTTTGCTGTCACTTTTGATCAATCTAGTGCATCCTTGATGAATAAAAGTATTAATATCTTTAAAAAAAATCTTACTGATCCAAACATTTAAATGAGTGTAAATTGTGCATGAACACAAATGTATTTATAAAACCAATATTTTAGTGAAGGAAAAGCATCATTCTCATCATACATGTTCCTCCTTCAATAGTGTTTAAAAACATCCTAGCGATGAGCAAAGCTGGAAGCAAAACAAGAAGCTCAAATATTAGAGTTTTTATTTGTGTCACGTTTTGGTCATTACTTCTTTCCCAAGGTTTAGTGTCTTTAATAGACTTTACTATTACTCTAAAATGTAGAAAACTGTCATAGTGCATGACAACACTGCAGTCAGGTCCATACTGTCATGAAATCACAGTAAGTAAGATGTTATAAATCTAGCATTTGCATGTTTGGAATTATTTAGAAAGGGAAAGAAGTCAAACTGTTTACTCACAGTACAAACTGGTTTTGATAAGAATCAAAGTGATATACTTACATAAATGTGACCCTGGAGCACAAAACCAGTCATAAGGGTCAATTTTTTGAAATTGAGATTTATACACCATCTAAAAGCTGAATAAATAAGCTTTCCATTGATGTATGGTTTGTTAGGATAGGACAATATTTGGCTGAGATACAACTATTTGAAAATCTGGAATCTGAGGGTGCAAAAAAATCTAAATATTGAGAAAATCATCTTTAAAGTTGTCCAAATGAAGTTCTTAGCAATGCATATTACTAATCAAAAATTAAGTTTTGATATAATTACGGTAGGAAATTTACCAAATATCTTTATGGAACATGATCTTTACTTAATATCCTAATGATTTTTGGCATAAAAGAAAAATCTATAATTTTGACTCAAATATACAAATATACCCCAGCGACTTATGACTGCTTTTGTGCTCCAGGGTCACAAATATGTACTTAGAGAGTTGCATTTACCTGAAAAAAGTCATGCACACGCAAGCATGCATTACAATGAAAAAACATGAAGAAACATGAAATAGCATGAGAAAACTCACCTTTCATTAGGATGTTGCAGGGCAGCCGGCAGCAGTCAAGTGTCCTGTATATTCTCAGGTCTTACTCTTTAATGTGGAGGTTTTCTGGTTTCGTGGAACCCGTCAGTCAGCCCTGGATGGTCCAAGTCCAACTCCGCCCCCCAGCAACT